CGAGGCTAGACGCCGATAGCCACCCAGGAATGCCGAGGAGCCTCCGTCGTTGGAATACGACTGAAATTTGTCTTAAAAAAGGCCCGGGCTAATTCCTGCCGTGGTAATATTTACAAATTGAGTCTGAGAGACGGGGTAGGGCAGAGAGGCAGAGAGCAGGAGAAAAGGAAGAAAGAAATCAAATGAGAAAGAAGAACAGAGAAATAAATTGGCCTTTTATATTGTGCAAGCGTGTACAAAAATACTAAGTCTGCATTTATCCGAGACATGTCAATCAGAGCAGCACACTGACAATTAGTGCGTTTGAATAGAACTTTTATCATTTAGCAGACACCAGAGTCCTGACCTACTGTACAAAAATACAGCTCAGGGAATGAATGTGCCTGTAACACAATGACTGTCTATTTAAGTTTGGTGACACATAAAAAATACAGATATGACAGGCCAGACTTCTTCAAATGAGCGGGGGGCAGAAAGCTCAGGTTTTGTAACCACGACTTCTCTGATTATAGAGCGAAGAAGAATAGTGCGAGGAGCGGATGTCAATTACAAAGACAAAGTCATCCGCACAGGCGAAGGAACGGGGGAAAGAGCCGTAATTCATTATTTTTTAATGCGCATACTTTTACACACATATATTATCTTTCACCGAGGGCTGGCCTCGATTCAAAGCGCCTGTGTTTAACGATTCTGCGTGCAGGGCCAGATTACTCCACAGAGGGTGCCAAACCCGATCCCCGAATCCACCAGCACCACCCTGCCGACACCCTGCCGGCCAAATGAGGTGAGGAGGAGTTCACCTTTACTGTGCCGGTGCTCCTCGCAGTCGCCGCGACGTCTGTTTACGTTACACAAGCGAGGAAAACCAGCTAATAAAAAACAGGGAGGCCTGACTGTAATTTACCAGCACCAGAGGAAACCAGCTGCTCGCAGTTTGTATCATTCGTGCATTTTTACTTTCTTTGGTTTTCAGTTTCAATTCGAGGGCAGACGCGCCGAGTTTCACTGTAAACACGTTACGTTTGACTTTAGACCTCACGTCTCTGCTTCACTGACACTGGAGGGAAAAATAGGACTTCACAGTAAACAGACGGCAGCTCGTGTCATGTTTTTATTCTTTATTTTTAATTCCTTATTTATTTGTACGCTGTCAGTTAATCCTTCACAAACTGACAAGCGCATCTTCAGCTCTGGCAGCAACACTGAGCATGCTCAGTCCAGGCTTCACGACTGCTTCCAAACCCAAGTGTGCAGTCGTGATGACAGCAAATGCATCGTTCTTTAATTTAGGGGGTCACATGGTGCAGTTTGCTCGCCCCGACACCATGTTTTACAGAAAACTGGGGAAATTTGAAATAGTTTTCGAGTTTTGTCGCAAAGGCAGCTGAAGATGACGGACAGCGTACGCGGTCAGAACACCCGAGGACCTGGAGCTCGATCTCCATGGAAGTCAGCGAAGGAGACATTCCTCTCTAATGTCAGCTAGCTACATCCACAGTGGTCTGGATCTTGTTCAGCTCGACTTTATTCCTGTTTTAATGGCACAGTAATTACACTCTAACAGTTTGTCTGCACGTGTAATTACGCCCCCATTGTACTGTCGCAATTAGATGAATATCCACGCTTTATAACCTAAGGCGTCAAGTTGGCAAATCCAATTTCAATTTGTATGGAGCGAGCATTTTGCCTGCTTGTTTGAGCCGTGGTAAGACCAGGGATATGCCGGCTAATCCCTGCCATGTTAAAACGCAAGGAAAAAAATGAAGACGCGGGGGATTCTCCAGAGAGCGAGAAGGAGAAAGAAAGAGCCAGAGGGAGCATGCACGGTGCTTTTAGAGCCAGGAGCTGGGTTTCAGGGTAGCGGGATGGTTGCAGAGGACTCGTGCAGCTTTAGGCCTTACAAGCACGCAGCAAAGCCAATTTTCTACGCATTCAGCGACGCCATCGTGCAACGCCGGTTTATTTGTGTGGAAGAGAGGGGAGAAAGAGGAGGCAGCGGTGCCTTCGTGGCACCGGGTCCTCGTGGCAGCGCTACCTGTTGCTGAGGCTTCCTAACGTGATTACTGCACGCCGTTTCCTCCCCACACAGCAAACAATACGGGGAAGTCGGCGCGAGGATAACCAAACAAAAAAGTGTAAAAAAAAAGGATGGTGATGGGCATATATGTAATTACCTCTTTGTTTCTTTCAAAAATATTCAATAAGGGAGATGCTCAAGGTGTGCCGCAGAGCTGCGTTTAATAAGGAAGGTCTTTAAAGGACATCTCTGACAAAGGCTTTTGTTTTTCTGCTCTTTTTCTTCCACACTTCACGCACTGCTTTTAAACAAGTGCCGTCTCAAAGACAAAAGTGCCAGAGCTGACCTTCTTTCACAGTTGAGATGTTATTGTTGATTACTATAATTTAAGTTTAACTCTAAATTGCTGCGGGTAGGTGGCGGGGTAGAAGGCGAGCACGCACACATGCTCGCAGGTACACGCCGACAGAGAATCACGAGCTCTGCTTTTCAAACCTCAGATATTAACACAATGGTACAGTACGGCATCCTGTTCACTCTTCGAGAGTGATATGTGCACACACGCAACAAAGCAACCCCGCACACACGCATGCAGCGGAGAAGCATGACACCTTTCTCCACATGAGACTCAGACACATTTTTCTCACACATCAAAGCTTCTAATTTGAGAGTCCCCGAGCTCCAAACGTGATTCATATTGTGTAAGTTGTGAACAACGACGAGTCAAGTTTGCTGCTCCTTCTTATTAAAAAACAGGAAGTGGCAAAAGAGGCTCTGTTAAAGCACTTTCAATGTCAAGTCTGTTTCCTTCTCAATTTCACATAAAAACTCCATCCGTCCACATCACAGTCTGCGTACTTCCTCTGCACGGCTTCAAACCCGGCCGTGCTGCGCTGCGACTGAGCGGCGCACACGCAGCAACGCGCACTATTTTAATTTGTTTTTCTACGTACGTTTCTGTCTTTAATCCTCCAAAGGTGGTGCCCCCAGGGCCAGATTTAACCACTCATCTAAATCTAATGCGACCCTTTGTTCTCCGCTACCATTTGGCGGTAAATACGGCGAGTTTTATTATTTGAATTTGTGCATTTATTCATTTTGCGTACAGTACCTCTGAAGTTGCTGAAATGCCACAAGCTGTACTCGTCAGATTCAAAGTGCTCCAGTCAAAAGAGACGCAGGGACGGAGAGAGAGGGGGAGAAACTTCCAGCATTAAAATTCAGAAGATAATTACATCCGCTACACCCCCACCCTGTTGAGAAGTGTTATGTTTAATAGTCTCTATAAAGAAAATAGGTTTTTATCTCACTCTCATTTTCATTAATTCCTAATTGGGGTGGGGGGTTGTCTGTTATTATTTCTTAGATTAAAATAAACATAGCCTGTCCCATGTTCAAACCCATCACACTACACGGGCACGATAAGGACTTCATGCCTCTGTGAATAAATAAACAATTTCGTCTCCACTGGTGGAATTAAGTTGCTTACAGCCTTAAGCTAAGCCACTCTGATTTATATTTATATATATTTATATTTTCTCTCAAAAGACTTAAAAGCACATCCTTGCTTCTGCAAATGAAGCTCGCTAATGTTTTTGACCTGCTTTATATGTATATCTTTAATTAGTGTCTTGTTTAGCTTAAACCGACTGATTATCGCGTATTCGTGACCTAATTACTGCACGCGCTTCTTAACGCCAGCGTAGCGCCCTGAGGAGCAACCAAAAGTTACCTTTAAAAACTTGTGTAATCATTAGCAATGAGCCTCCCTTAATCCCACTAAACATACACTTATCTAGCCCCGGCCGGCCTGCGTTGGCTGGGTGGGGGAAGGGGAGGGGTTCGCTCATCTCCGCCGTGTTTATTAAAGACATTTATTAATCGCTGTGCTTAAGACGAGCTCGTCCCCGCACTCCCGGGAAACAGACTGCTAACCCGCAAACGGGCACGATGGCGTTCTCTGGAGTCTTAATGGCAGAAACAACAGAGCAAAGCTGACTCTATGTGCCGCGTGCACCGCTAGTTCAATGAAAGTCAAACAGTGTGCAGCGGCCCAGCGTTAACACAGACTGTACACAAAGATGGACGTAGCATCCTGCTTTGCCTTCTAACACCCTGAGGGGGGCGACTCCTCTGGGGCCTGCTCAGGTGCTTATTTCACAAACTACGGTCACGGTGAGGGTCGACTTAGTTTCTCAGTCAACGATGAGAACACACTTTGCTTTGCTATTCATCAGCTGTTTTTATATATAAAAACATGTACCCATCATGTAAAGCAGGGGTGTCGAACTCAGATACACAGTGGGCCAAAATTCAAAACAGGAACAAAGTCGCGGGCTAACATTAATATTTATTGAAATATATTTATTCCTCCAGATATGAGAATGAATCTTTTCTTCTGGACTCAAACACGTTTTGCTGAAAAACTGAATATGGAACAAGCAAAGCTTAATACTAAACAATATATATATTAGCTGTATAATACCAGTAGGCCAGCTCTGATAGTAATTTGGTATGGCTTCACGGGCCAAGTGTAATTAGGCTGCCAAATTTGGCCCGCGGGCCAGAGTTTGACACCTATGATGTAAAGCATCAAAGATTAGGTTAACGATAGCTTAAAGGTTAAGATTAGGTAAGCAAACAGAGCATCCCATGTGGTCTCAGAGGGAACTACACCCTCTGCATAAGTTTGAGACTGGAGGCATGAACAGGTCGTGTTGTATGTGACTCTGCATCTCTTCTCAATGTTTTTTTACATTTGAGCCGCCTTAAAAAACCCAAAGCAAACATCACTCGAGGTCTTCTTCCTTTAATAAAAGCTGAGGATCACTGCTGTCTATGTGTTTAAAAGATTTGACTAGAACAGAAATCAAATTTCACGGAAAGGCGGATCACAGGAAAAGATCTACATCACTTTCTCTGGTAGACATGGAGGACGCTCGCTCCACTGCCTTCTAGTTGATTTAGTAAGTAGTTCTCCTACCTGAAGATGGTGAGGAGGGATGGGGGCTGTCGTCCTGGATGCTTCCTGTCTGGGAATGTCCCCCGCCAACGCCACTCTCCTCTGTCACATTGGATGAACCGGGAGTGGTGGAGCGGCTGATGGACTGGGACTCGGGGTCACTGGCCGATCCACGGCGTTCATCCAGTCCTTGCTGAAGTGCCTCGTCAATGCCTCGCCTGTCTTTACCGTGGATTCGCGAGTGGACGACCATTTGATGGTAGGTTCTGAAGACACGTCCGCAGTCTGGGCACTCTGAAGGCTTCTCCTTCAGGCCGGACAGGCCGGAGAGGCTGTAGTCAATGTTTGGGCTTCCCAAGCCAGCCAGGGCTCCAGGAGCCTCAGCACTACCGTGGTGGGACATGAGATCACGGTGACCGTCAAAGCCTCTTCCATCCTCCTTCATGGACATCACTGCTCCACTGGAAGCCTTGGATCCCTGCAGGGCCTCGGAGAGCTGCTTCTGCTTGGAGCTATCACCGGAAGCAATCAAGGAGTAGTCTTGTTTCTCCTTTGAGAAGGAAGCCAAGGAGCCCGCACCAGCCATCTCATCTTCCTGCCCCGGGGTTATATGGTGCTGCTGCTGCTGATCCTTGGGCATGAAAGCCCTGTCCATAGCCATTCCACGAGCCATTATCTGCCAGGCTTGGTAGCTATTGATCGAGTCCATCTCTGCCACCTTTGCAGCCGCCTGGAGGCGCTCCATGCAGCTCGACTTGAGCGGTGGAACGAGGTTGAGACAGCCAAGGAGTGAGCGCTTCTCGTTTTCACCTAGCCCGTGGCCTATTGCACCTGCCATGGGTCCAAGCAGCTTTCCTAACATCTCCTTTTCCTTCATGGCTATCCCCGCTTTAGCCAACATCTGGTGCTGCTCGCTGAGGCCCTGCTTGTCTGGTGAAAGGAAGCCTCCCTGAAGACAGGAGATGTAGCGGGAATAAAGGTTGGCATGGGCTTCCTGAGCCAGATTGCTCATGCTGTTGACGGCGGCCATGTCCTGCTCACTGGGCTGGGGTGGCTTGCTCTTGATGGCCAGCTTATTCAGATGCACCTTCATGTGGTTCTTGAGGAACCAGGGTTCCTTAAAGCGACGGCCACAGATTTGGCAGCAGTGTTCAAAGGACTCCTTGTGCTTTCTCATGTGGCCCTTGAGGAACCAGGCTTGGCTGAACACCTGGCCGCAGACCTCGCAGCGAAACTCGGTGGCCATCTGCATGCCCCCGGAGCCACCAGAACCCTGGCCCTGCGTGGTCTCGGCTGTGATGTGGGCCTTCTCCACATGGCTTATCAGCTCTTCTTCGTGGGAGGCGGCGAACTCGCACAGAGTGCATTTGTAGGGCTTGTGGAGAATGCGGATGTGACGGTCCAGCTCCTCGCGCTTCTTGAACTTCCCTTTGCAGAAGGTACAGCGGAAGCCCACAGTAGGGTTCAGAGACTGGTCGTCCTGAGCGCCGGCCGGCTTGGGTGAGGAAGACGGCTGAGAAACTGTGTCTGGAGTGGCGAGCCCGGAGGAATGGGTGGGGGCGCAGGTTGACCCTAACTGCTGCTGATGGGTGTTTGAGCTGCTGTTGGGGCCCAGATGTGGCGTCTGAGCGGTCTGGAGGAGACTGCCACTCCCTCTCATCTGCTTGTCTCTCAGGATGGCTCTCTCCTCGAGCTCGTGCAGCAGCCGGTTCTCTTCTCGAACTCGGCCACGGCCTTTTCCCAGGTTCCCCAGTTTGTGGGTGCGGAGATGGATCTTCAGGTTGCCCTTTTGAGCCGCTCTGTGGTCACAGTAGGGGCACTTGAATGGCTTCTCTCCCGTGTGTGTGCGCATGTGCAGAGACAGGATGCTGTTGAAACGGAAGCGCTTGCCACACAGTGGGCACGGGTACTTCCTGTTCTTGCGAGCATCGTCTTCGATATCATTCATCTGGGACATGATGCCCAAGTTCTGCCCATTGAGAAACTGCTGCAGGTCGACACGCCCGTTTAACCCACTCAGTGCCCCTGCGTCTATGTCTCGATTGAGCTGATTGGCTAGTAGAGCCATCTGGCTGCTGATTGGTTGACTGGCCAGGGCTGCGTGGTGTGTCTTCTCATCCAACGGCGTGGCCGCCTTCTCTTCGGGAATCTGCTGTGGGCGGTGCAGGTCGGGAAAGGCGTGTCCTAACTGGGCAGTGAGCTGGTGAAGCTTTTGACTGATTGGGTAACGGCCGTTTAGAACAGCATTGCTCAGGTGGGCTTCGGCGTCAGGCACCACTGACGATACACCAAGACATAAACTAGAGTCCTCCATCCTGAAGAAACAGAAAAATAAAAACGTATTAGAAACATTTTTGACGTATTTTAATATTTTACAGACATTCAACGATAGTGTGTGGGCGTTCATCCAACCACGTGTCTGGAAATGTGGATGCCAGTTGTGTCATATTTCAGGTGTATGTACACGTTATCAACAAGTAATGCTCTAAACACTCACTTTTTCTGCTCTTGGATCTCTGTGATGTCATAGAGACACAGGATCAGATAAAAAAGGATTTTTGTTTTGAACTGAAAATCATGTAAAGACACTCCAAGGATGAGTGTGGGGCTGGAGAGGAGCAGGATAGGTGCCCTGGTGAAATAAAAACACCAGTGTGAACTGTCAGCGCCGAAGGCCTGCGGGGATGCTGCGACTCAGAACTTTTTCAAATTGTAAAGCCATTTTGGATGGAATAATTACTCTGTAAACACAGTGAGCAGTGTATAATTAAGCTACTTGTGCCCATCCTATCAGAATTCCTCCAATTACACGCCTTAATGAAATGGAGCAACTGCATTGCCGGGAAGCCACGGCAATACTACAATTATGATATTAACAATAGCACTTAAAACCAAGGGGTTACTCCAGTAAACACAACATTCTTATCTCGGTGCCACGACACTTGTCTTGGCACAATATTCCATTAAAGAGCCGTATTACATTTGATGTGAATCGCTTTGCTCTTTGCTGTCTGCGCTCTTCACAGTTTCCAGGACGGTGGAAACAACATGAAGATGCTGTGGATACACCGACACTGCTCTGTGAACAGCCCGCTCTTTGTTCTGCTGGCTTTTGGGTGAAATATGTCACAGTTTTCACACCGCGCTGCAACGCCATTAAATGTGTTTTCATTCCGTATGTGTAACATCGGCGAATGCATAAGTAAAAAATAAATAAACAACAGTGCTTTTAATGCACATCCATCTGTTCTCCAGATGGAGAGGTATAAGCAGCTATCGCTGCTTGCAGGGGTCAAACCTGCAAAACAATAAGTGTGGTTCTGCTTAGGTCAACAAAATATTGTATAATATCTCATTAAGCTGATTAGCATGCTGCCTGGTAACAGCGGCAGCCACTGGACTTTAATGTAGCCTTATAATCATCAAAAAGCGCTTTTGAGGCGAGGCGGCGTGAAGGAGTGGCACTAGGTGACATGTTAGGAAGCTCAGCGTACTCTTCACAGGAGCAAAGGGCATCCACACTGGGATCCTTCTTCTCTTTCTCCACCTACGTTTGTGAAGCACACACTACACCACGTCGTGCTCGGCTTAAGTGTTCATTCAACCACCCCCCCTCCCCTCCCAGTAGGAGGTCAGCAGACATAAGGGCTGCCTGTTCTGGTACCGCAGAGTCCTCCAACACACTGCCGATGGTGGATTCTTATCTCGCTGACATGAATTAAACACTGTGGCCACTTTCCACTTGTGTGTAAAGGAATGTGACACTTGTGGGCTGCCCTTTGAATTCTCCTTATTTCTCCCCACAAGTATCGTAAAGCAATGCGCCTGAATTCATTAAGAGTATAATGGCTATGCTATGTTCTGCAGGCTTGCATACAGCACTTCGATGTGCTCTGTCACAGATCTTATCTGACCCGAGTGACGCTGAAAGAAATCACTTTAGGAGCCTGCTAATAAAAAGTTTGTGCTTGAATGAAATATTTCCAGACTGGCCACAAATGAAAGGAAAACCTTGAACGTGTGACCCGTCCAGCTGAGAGGCTGTGAGACGGTGCCGGGTCCGTTTTGAGCGCTCACCTTCCTGCCGTGACGATCTGCCCGATCTGCACCACAAACCTGAGTTTTTGTGAAAATGTACCTACTTCCTGTCACTGCTGTCATTTCAAAGCAATCTTTGTCTTGCTGTTGTTCCACTTAAAATCATTCTACAGAAATGTAATCTCTATATTTTCCTGTATTTGTTCGTTCAAGCACATGCTTAAAAACACAATACTGTTGAATTTAAAGGTCACACGTCATGTTGATAACTGGAACATAAGGCGCTAAATGATGTAAATTATGATATACAATCACAGTTACGATAAATATATTACTTTGGTCAGAGGTTGTCAAATAATTAGGATAATCAAGCTTTTTTTTTTTTACCTTTGTTTCAGTTCATGCATGAAAAAAAGTTGTTTTTAGCAAATTGGAAATAAAAATCTAATTTTCTTTTAATCAACCACAGGACTGAAATATGAACCAAGACCTGCAGTTCGTCCGACATCCAGCAGGGGCAGCAGTGAGTCAGTCCCCACAGACCCCCGTGTTGAAGCAGCACAAATAACCATGTTTACAGCCTGATACACAAACTTCACGACACCTGCACAGGGGGAGGGTGTCTTCATAAATCACCCAGATTGAAGCGTGCATAATTATGGGTGTGGCCTGATGCTCCCATACACGCTGTGCGAACAAAGCTGACCGCTCCACCCTCTCGTCTAAATTTGGAAACAAAAAGATTTAGTCAACCATGGTGACCAAAACGTCACACTCTTTCAGACCAGGAACCGATCGGTGTCCATCCTTTACGTACAGTCTGTTTTAAAGCTAAACTTGTTCACACAAGCTGGTGTTTTTCCTTTAATTTGTCACCATATAGTTTTATCACACACGCTCCCACGGTGTGGGAGAATTACTGCTGGGAAGGATCAAACTTTGTTAGGCTGCTTTAAACGACTTGTGGTTTTAAATTGTATTTATGTGACACCCCATCTTCCATCAGCAGCCGTGCATATATTGGAGGAGACCTTATTTGAATGGGCCCTTTTTACAGAAGCGGCTGCCTTTTGGAATAGAAATCTGTGATTTAAACTAGGCTGATGAGCTGTTGCTCATTTGGGGAGATAGCAGCTTGCCCTTTTCTTCAATTTGATTTCTGCCTTTATCTTTAACATATAACAAAGGCAGATAGACAATGGAATAATGTGAAATGAACTGACGAATCCAGTTTGTGTTTTTTATAAACGTATCCTGGCTGACGAGCGTATGCAAATGAGGCACATTAATATGCTCGCCTTGCTCCCGAGTCATTTTATATTTTTTCCCCTGATTAAAAAGGACATTTCTTATGTGACATCCCCCCTCTGCTCACATCCGCACGCACGAGCACGCGCGCGGGGAATTGGAGGGCGGTGTACGAGCCGTAGACACGCAGCCAGTCAAACACGAGCCTCTGACTACAGACAACAATTCGACATGCGAGTGCCCTCTAAAAGACGCGGCGAGTGCGCTGCAGCTCACTGCTCTCACCAAACCGAGCAGCTCGACGCTGTCACAGGAGAACTCGGGTTCTTACCGGCCATCCTGGGGAAAGACTCGGGGCCCCGCCGTCCCTCGCCGCAGACTCCGTTACGAACGCCAGCTTTGTGCTCTTACAGTACATGTGCCGTTATTCTCTAACCTGTACGACCTTATCATTTCCTGGCATGTGCTGCAACGCTGCCTCATTAAAACTATTGGCTCCTCCGATACCTCTAAAACCACAAAGACTTCCTTTAGCATTTTCTCACGACGGTTCGCTTGTTGTCTTTATAGTTTGTGGTTTAATATTCAGCGAGGCTCCACGTGCACTCACAAACACGGCGAATCCTCTGCACGCTCACACAAACTGATTTCACTTGGTTTCTCTTCAATCCTCAGCTTAATTATAAGTGGTATCTGTGACACAATGGAAGTATATTACAGTCACCATTTAAATGTGCTCAGTTCATTTCTTTCTTATCAATGGTAGCATGCATCATAAATGCATACAGGATTTAAATGTGCTCCTCTCTAATTGCAACCATATAAATTATTGCATATGAAAGGCACTCGCAGCATTAGGGATGGCCGCCTGTTATGAATTCATATTCAAATAAACAGCGTTCTTGGTGAATTTGCTGTCAGGCTCGAGTTTTGTCAGAAAACTTTTGGCTGACATTTAAGACGAGAAGGGTGGGGGGGGATCGAAAAGCCATTAGTCGGACTTTACTTTGTTATTTTGGCATTTATCGACACGAAACCCATCGACTAATCACAATGCGATACCTCATTAAGTCCTAATGAACAAATTCATTGCGTTAAACAAATCAATCATTATTCACAATGTGCCGAATTCAATCATATCTGCACCGAATCGTTAACGAGACGCAGGGGCCGCGGCGACGGCGCTCTGATGTCGGAGGGACAACGTGGGCCATATGTTCCTCACGTGCTAAATATTTGGCGATTAGGCGAGCGGCGGGGACAGTCGGGTTCATTAAAAAGCTCTAAGTGTATTTTCAAAGTACAAACAGAGCTTCCTCATCTTTTCAAAGATCAATTACCTCTTGGCAAAAGACGGTTCGGTTCGAGCGCTGCACATATGAGTTTGTTCCCGGCTCGTGTTTTGTTCTATTGCAGGTGGTCTTTGCGAGACGTCTAATTAATCCAATAAAAAAGCCGCCTTGTTTTCCTTCCTCTCGCTCGCACTTTGACTTTGCCGCATTATTACTTTCTGTAATGAGGCAAAAACACTCCGCACTCAACTGCACACAGAAACAGTCGCAGAACACCTGCCAGATTCGAGCGCAGCTCCACCCGAGGCTGGCGGGCCGGGACCCGGAGCCCGCGAGAGGACGGGTGCTTTTAATACAAAGACACGTCTGCGTAAAAAGAACGTGACGTTTACACCGATCCCAGTCAGCTCGGCATTACACTAATATACAGCAGTTTTCCACAGAGCTCCTTGAACTTGAAAGAATCATAAGAACACGAGTGGATTAACACGATCCGGCTCCACTTCAGCACAGACAGCACAAGAGCTGTGACAAACTGAGTGAACAGGAGCCTCTCCCTCTCTCTCTGCACAATATGTCATTGAGGGCTGTTTAAGAGGTCCTGTCAACAGGTAGTTCAACTTTCAGCTCATCCCCGCTGATCAGCGAGGGCCCTCCTGACAGCGAGAAAAGAAAGACACCGGGAGGGAGCGGGAGGCACAGAAAGAAAAATGTTGTGGCTCTTTTTATCCATCCGG